TGGCTTGATTCATCAATAATTAACATAGTAGAGGGACCTCAGCATATACGACTGATTTGTTTTTCAGTAATCATGGTTCTTCACTTCTCATATGAATCAGGCCAAAGTTTGATGTATTTTATGGAGAGGAAAAAAAGAAAGAATTAAAGTGATGCAAATTTGAAGTAATGTATACAGCAATATGTACCTGTCATAACTGTTAGGGCTTCTGTAGCAGGGGCTGCAGGGCTGCCCTGTAGTGGAAGAGGCTATGAACGGATATACATAAGAAAAAGCATTAGCCCTTAAGGCAGAAGACACCTGGAGGGGACTGCTGAGGAGGAGGCATGGGGCTGCAGATGCACTCTTGGAAGGAGATGCTTCTGAAGGTACTGTGGCCTGTTGGGGGCACATGCTGGGGCAAGGACAGCCCTGAGGTCTGGCAGAGGACTCACATTCAGACAGCAATGCTGGGAAGAAGCATGAAAAAGCTTGGCATTTTTATGTAAAGGAAAGCTCCATACGCTAGTTATTGTGAGCACTACTTCAAACTGACATATGTGTACTAGACGTAACAGGCAGGATCTTGGTAGTGATGAGCTGCAGGAATGTCCTGTGTGGGAGAGGGCTGTGAAGTGCCCTGTACTAGTCACAGTTGCTTCCATCCAGCTCAAAAACTGATGGAAGATCCATTTTAATGTATTTTCACATTTTTGTTTAGTTAGATACACAATTCACCAGCTGCTATGACCAGGAAACTTTGGCTTGGCTTGCATTTTATTGCAACTGTCTGTGTGTGTACATGTGCTTTGTTGCATGACAAGCTTCCTGACATCTACCTAACAGCCCTGCACTTCCTACAGCATCACCTGAAGTGCTTACGCAGTCCACATGACCCATTACCCGAGCCAGTGATATCTGCATTCTTTCTCTGACATTGATAACTTGTATAGATTCATATAGGCAGGCGAGTCAAAACTCCTGTAAGTTATACCTTATCATCCTTAGTTCTATGACTCATTAATCTGTTGATTGCTTCATCTGAGCAGCCTTAGCTCTCAGTCAAGCAGAGGCAACTTGAAACAGTGCATTTGGAAAGAAGACTCAGTGCAGCCCCAGAACCACAGACAAGCTCCAGCCAGCAGCAGAACGCTGAGTTTCTTTAAGCTTACAATGGCACCCTGGAAAAGACCACATAAAATTGCTCTATTAATCATGAACGCAGGTTTTGTGTGTTATCTGGTGCATTTACTGCAAGAGCAAAGAAAGGGAAGACGTGATTTCTTGGAAGTTAATCTTCGATCTCCAAACCAAGAAAATAACATCCTTCAGAAACTGGACCATTTGGACTGGAACATTCATAACCTCTGTAAGTAAAATGCTATGCTGCTTAACTTTTTAAAGATTAAATATCTAGATTTCCTGAAGGATAGGGTAATAGATAGCAGTGATAATGTTTGTTTAGGTTCCTCTGGACACTTGATTTTTTTCTTTTTCTTGAAATCTTCAAAAAGATTTGATAGCTTCTGTACTTAACATACAAAACAATAAAGCTTTTCACAGTCATCATGTTTTTTTGCATATGAGACAGCTCCTGATCCTGAACTCTTTTAGAAGTGTTAAGCAACTTTAAGCTGATTATACCAGCATACTAATCTCAGGCAGCTATTTTTCTCTTCATTATTTTGTTTGCCATGAATAGCTGTTTTTGAGACAAACTGGAAATGCCCCATTTCCTCAGCCTCTGCCTCTGCTGTGTGAGTGAGCAACAACGGGAACTGTGACTCCCCCCGTTTTTTTTTCTTTCTATACGTTGAGCATAGACACAATGGAGTTGCTGTGGGGAAAAGACGTTGATGGGCTCTGCTCAAGTGAACTGTGTTCCCGAGCAGTAGTAACTGAAATCTGAGGGCAGGGCCGTCTCTCTTTCATCTCATGATAGTGAAAGTCTAACAGCATTCCAGTAGATGTGCTTGTATATGAGCAATGTTAATTTAGAAAGAGCCTCTTTTTTCTCACAGTGGCGTTTGTGAATTTTGACCTTGTTTTCAGGTATCTGTTGTAGGTTGGGTTGTTGGGAACAATAGAACCATCTGAAAAAGGGCTGAAGAACCCACCTCTCTGTTTCCTTTGGACCCCTTGATTTCCCACTTTTTTCATGTCATTTGAATTTCATAGGAGAGCTAAGGCAGCCAGAACCCTGCTGACTGGCATTGCTTTGACTGTCATGTTGTCCACATCTCCTCACATTAGAGCTCGATGTGTGGTAGGTAGAACAGAAGAAGAAACTTTGATCATCCAAGCCTGAAACTAGCTGTTTGAAATGCCACTTGGGGCACGCTAGAACTTGATGAGGAAATTTCCCTGTACGCCTTGGTCATGTTTAATATCCCTTATCCTATAAAATTACTTATATTGCTGACAGTGCCTTCACTGGCATCTATTCTCATGGACATCAATAGTTGGGCACAGTTTTTGTCTATTTTAGAGCCATTTGAAAGAAAGCTGAAATCTTCATTTCAATGCTTAGTCACTGAATCACATAATGGTTGAGGTTGGAAGACACCTCTGGAGACGGTCTGTTCTAATTCCCGTGCTCAAAGCATCATCAGCTAGAGCAGGTTGCCCAGGACATTGTGTAGTTGGGGTTTCAGTATCTCCAAGGATGGAGACTTAACAACTCATCTGGTCTACCTGTTCCAGTTTTTGATCACTCCAGCAATCTAAAAAAAATATCAAAAATTCTTATATTTAAGTGTAATTCCCTGTATTTCAGTTTATGCCTACTGCCTCTTGTCCTTTTACTGGACACTAGGAAAAGACTCTTCCACCGTCTTCGTTAGTCCCTCTTATAAGATATTCATATGCATTAATAAGTGTCCCGCTGCCCCCAAGCCGCCTCAGGCTCTCTCAGCTTTTCCTTGGATAACGGATGCCCCAGTCTCATAGTCATCTTAACGACTTTTTTTAGGATTTGCTCTAGTATGTCCACATCTCTTTTGTACTGAAGAGTCCAGAAGTGGACACAGTACTCCAGGCGTAGTGTCACCAGTGCTGAGTAGAGGGAAGGATTACCTCTCTTGACCTGGTCTTACTAATGCAACCAGGGATACTTTGACCTTCTTTGTCATGAGGGCACACTGTTGGCTCCTGTTCAACTCGGTGTTCATCAGGACACCCAGGTACTTTTCTGCAAAGCTGCTTTCCAGCTGGTACTGGTCTATGGGGTTGTTCCTCCCCAAATGCAGGACTTTGCACCTGCCTATGTTAAACTTAATGAGGTTTTTGTTGACCTTTTTCTCCTGCCTTTTCAGGTCCCTCTGAACAGCAGCAGGACTCTCTGGTGCATCAGCCACTCCTCACAGTTTGGTATTATGCACAGACTTGATAGGGTGCACTCTGCCCCATTTTCAAGGCCATTGATGACCATATTAAACCAGTATTGGAACCAGTATTGACCCCTGGGATATACCACCTATCACTGGCCTCCATCTGGACTTTGTGCTACTGATCATGACCTTCTGATCCTGGCAGTTGAATCCCCCTTGCTATCCACTTACCTAGTGCGTACTTCCTCAGCTTGTCTGTGAGGATGTTGTGAGAGTCACTGTCAGAAGCTTTACTTGAGTTTAAATAATATCCCCTCCTCTTTCTTCAGTCACCAAGACAGTAATTTAATTGTAGAAAGCTTTAACTCATGCAAGTTTTTCTGTACCTTTTTCATATGGCATAGTCCAATATTTTAAACTTAACAAGACCTTGAGAGATTAGGATTTGCCTTGTTCAAAGCTTTCTGATAGAGCAGAAGCCAAAACTAGCTATATGCTTTTCAAAAGGCACTACAAAGGGCTTGTTTGCTGTATTTACCTTCAAGAAAAGTACGTCCTGAACAACCTCATACAGGTTATCTGTGCCTTTTCTTTGTGACACAGTTATTGTGAACCTAACTACACCTTGAGATATTAGGGTTCACTCATTCAAATTTTTCTAAGCAGAAGTCAAATGATTTCTGTCAGCTTTTTAAAGGAGACAGCAAAGGGCTCATTTACTGAATTTATCTTCAAGATAAATATGGTAAAAACCTGACTTTCATGGGAATCCCATTATGGATCTTTAATACTTTGATATAACCCAAGCATAACATCATGGAAATGATTTGAGCCTGATTTAACAATTTTTATACTGCCTTTACTCTCCATTTCTCCATTTCTCCATTTCCCCTCTACTCTGCCCTGGTGAGGCAGCATCTGGAATATTGTCTTCAGTTCTGGGCCCCTCAGTTCAAGAAGGACAAGGAACTGCTGGAGAGAGTCCAGCGCAGGGCCACAAAGATGATGAAGGGAGTGGAGCATCTCCCTTATGAGGAAAGGCTGAGGGAGCTGGGTCTCTTTAGCTTGGAGAAGAGGAGACTGAGGGGGGACCTCATTAATGTTTATAAATATGTAAAGGGTGACTGTCATGAGGATGGAGCCAGGCTCTTCCCACTGGCATCCAATGACAGGACAAGGGGAAATGGATATAAGCTGGAACGTAGGAGGTTTCGCTTAAACATGAGGAAGAACTTCTTCCCAGTAAGGGTAACAGAACACTGGAACAGGCTGCCCAGAGAGGTTGTGGAGTCTCCTTCTCTGGAGATGTTCAAAACCAGCCTGGACGCGTTCTTGTGTGATCTGATCTAGGTGGTCCTGCTCAGGCAGGGGGATTGGACTAGATGATCCTTTAAGGTCCCTTCCAATCCCTAACATTCTGTGATTCTGTGATTGATACCAGCTTAGTGTCTCTTGCTCTGCACTCATGCAACTGAGAGCAGAATCTGATGCAGGATATTGTTAAATGTGATGGTTAAAAACTGTTTTTCTGTAGGAGGGAAGATCTGATGCTACTCTCATATGAATATCAGTTTAGCTGTAACTTCACAGATCTCTTGACCTGGAGTGTTATAAGGAGAATTTGGCTCAGTTATGAAGGTGGAGCGTGTTCTCACTTACTGTTATAATCAATCCTTTTTTATTTTCAATCAGCAAAATCAGTGGAAGCATTCCGTGAAAACATAAAACAAATAGAACATGATCTGAAGCTGCAAGATAACTCCAAGACTGAAGCATGCAAAGCTGATAATGCAAAGGAGGAAGAGAAGATTGAACACCGTTTGCTGTACCCGGACTCAGTTTTGTTCAAACGCTGGGGTACAGATTTAAGGGAAGAGGAGCAAACTGTTGCACAGAATCTGTTCTTAAGTTATGGGTATAATGTTTATCTCAGTGACCATCTACCTCTGGATCGACCTATCAGAGACACCAGATCTCCCAGGTGCAGCATATGCCCTTTCTTCATTCACAAGGAGGCAGCAAATTAAAGAGAAAGGGATCTGCATTGCTTTGGACTAAGTTAAAATAATCTACTAACAGATCTCAGTTTGTGCTGTGTTTGTTTAAGGTTTTTTAATCATTTTCTTCCAAATCTTGCTCAGATTTGTAATACTCCGAAGACTGTGAAAAGAAGTCACAGTGTAGAGAAGACACTTAGGAAAAAGATTATAATGCTAACATTGTAATGGATATAGGACTTCTAACTGTCAGTAAAAAGAGGAAAAACTCACCATAGTGTTCAGAAGATGAGACCTTCTGGTCTACGTTCTATTTAAGCCTCAAAGGCAGGACATCTGAAGCATGTTTTCTCTTGTCTCTTATGTGGTCTTATGTAAGCCTCTTACATGCTGAGATATCCAAAGTGGTCTTTTTTAACTTCCTCTCCGCTTTGGGAAACTCCCAAAATACAATCAATGAAGAAGTAAACCCCTACATTGTTAAATTATGTGTTTTTTAACAAAATGCTTGTTTTTCTTAGCTATGTTGCAGACCATAAGTGGGGAATATCTATACTGCTTATTAAAACATGAAATTAATAATCCCTAATCACCCCTGGCTGAGTAAACCGTATTCCTTAGTTTCAATATTTTAAAAATTATTTGGATTGAGAAACAGTAATTGTTCTTTTTTATTACCTTAACAGAAATTTTAAATTTACCCGAATGGTTTACATACATACATAATGCAACTCAAATGAATAACAAAACTTGGATTTGAGAATTCCTTTTTTTTCACTCTTACGCTGATTTTCACTGTATGTTTTAAGCCCAACATCCTCATTTTGCCTTCTTGCAGCTGCCTTGCTCTCTGACTTTCTTTAGAAACCGTGCTAAAGTTATTCTTCTTCTATTACAGTTGCAAAATGAAAACATATCCGAAAGACCTTCCAACACTCAGTGTTGTACTTATATTTATGAATGAAGCACTGTCAATCATCTTACGTGCAATTACTAGTATAATTAACAGAACACCTTCCCATTTACTGAAAGAAATCATCCTGGTAGATGATTACAGTTCAAATGGTAAGTGATCCACGGAAGGCAGGAGTCTTGCTAATTTATGTCTCTGTTGTGTTAAATGACTGTTGGTAGTCTTTTGGGTGCACACAGAGTAGACTGTTCAAAATTAAGAAAAAATTGAGTAAAGGAAAAAAAATCCAAACACCTTGATAGCCTGAAAAAAGGCAATTCATAAGGAACAGGATGGTGCCCTACCAGTATTTGAAAAGGTTAAAAGTTGAAGTGGGAGATTATTTATTGTCACTGTTTCATCAGGCACAGTACCAAAGTAAGAGTATGCTAAGAAAACTATCTCTGTAGGTATCTGAAATAACTCCTTAAACAGTGGTGTCTTGGGTTGAGGAAAATACTCCTAGGAGAAGCAATGGGTCCATCGTCGCTCTTAAAACTGAGCTGAATAAACCATTGTAAAATCATCCATAAGAAACACTCATGTCCCTGATCTTAAGGGTGCTCTTTTTCTTCCCTGATGAGATGTGTTTGATTTCTTGTTTTTCTAAGGCTTGGTAGCTGCTAGAAAAACAGGGCAGTTCGGGTGGAGCAAGCGTTTAAGTGGATTTCCAAAATGATGCTAAGAGGTCCCAACTTTCTATTTCTTTCCTCTGCCACTATTTTTTTCTGAGAGAGTTGGATTGTCTACAGCTCTTACAGGAGCATTTAATGTTTTCAGGGCTTGTTTATTTTCTCTTTTCCTTTCCTCATGGTAGAAGATACTCACAAATTACTGCACTAAGATAGCAAATTAGCTGCTGTTATGGCACGCATCTAAAGTTTCTACATGCTGGTGTATTTGTGTACAATTTAGAAGCCATACAATAGCACTATATGTAAATGAAATTTAAGTACTTAACTGAACTCCTGGAATGGAAGCTAGTTTTAAAAATAAGCCTCTTGAATTCATGAGTACTATTGCAAAGAACAAGTTAGTTTTCAGTCTGGAACTGGGAGATGCTAGAAAGTCATTACCTACACGATCTTTTCCATTTCTTCATATTGATTAACTCTTTTTTGTTTGGTTGTTTTTTTTTCCTTAATCATTAAAATGGGGTGTGGGGGGCTGGTTTTAGATGATCTGAAAGGACCTTTGGAAACACACATCAAAAATTACAATGCAAAGCATCCTGGACTGCTGAAGATCATCAGACATCAGAAAAGACAAGGTCTAACACAGGCCCGGATTTCTGGCTGGGAGGCATCAACTGCAGATGTTGTTGCAATTTTGGATGCCCATGTTGAAGTGAACTTGGCTTGGTAAGGCTATGAAGACTGAGGGGTTTCTGAAGTGGGCAAAGGGAAGTGGACGAGGAGTATAACTATGTAGCTGGGACAGGTATGCCATATACAGTTCTCCTTTCTGGCCTGTCACATGTTAATTAACAGCTACCAAATAATTTATTCCTGAGAGAAAAAGGGATACAATTGTTTGAAATAAATAGCAAAGCAGACAAGTAACAGAGTAAGCTGTTTAGTGAAGAGGAAGAGAGAAATGCCTACCTTCTCTATATATTTATTAAATTTCTAGGAAAAGACCGCTTCATGTAAGGGAGTAACATAAGAATGATGCAGATTATTTAGTTCTGCTGCCAGCAACTTTGACTCTTTCTAAGCATATTAGACAACCATAATACCCAATGACTTTAAATTACTTTGATTCTTATTCCAACTTTGGCTAATGTTTATTTACAGTTGCCTGCTAGTTTAATAGTACACTGTAGTTCTGTATGATTCTTTTTGCAGAGAGAGACAAAACAAGTAGCTGATAATGGATATTTACATTCTGTTAGAATGTGATGTCTATTGTACTGCTTTGTGTCAAATCTCTTTATGTTCTTTCCTCTCTGGGTTGTTGAATTGTCCACGTTGTCTCACTTTCTGGGAAAAAGGTTCTTCTCCCAGCTCTTCTCGAGCCAGAATGTCTCTGTGTGGTCCAGATCTCTATCTCTCCATAATACACTAGCTGACACTCTATAGCTGTTACAGTCTTAAAGGTAATACTGAATTCCTTTATTCATGGCTTTCAGCACTAATTTGGATTGGTTGGGCTGTCTGGAGTATGTAGGGAGAGACAAGGTCAGTTCTTCCAGGCCTAACAACAGTTGGACTCCAGCAAAAAGACTACCTCTGTCAGAGTCCCATACTCTCTGACCAGATTCTTTTAAATATTCCACCTGAGGAGGGTTTAATGTTCTAATACTAAATTTACCTATTTGAAGATATACTGGATTTTTGTTTAGAAAAATGATACTGCAATATACTGAAATCACAACACAAGCACAGTATAGCAATTGCCATACACAGCTGAATCGCAGTACAAATGGGATTCACATTACTGCTCTCCATATGCCCACTGTCAAGATGTTAGGCATCCCTAGTTTCTGGGAAGGAATATATGGGGTGAAGCCAACTCAAGTGTGTTGCTCTCTTCAATGTTCGTATTGATGGGTGTTTGGTTTTTATGCTCTATGTTGGGCTGAGGCACATATGCACCTCTCTTGGTCTGGCTGGCTCAGGAAGGTAATACTCTCTATAGATTATTTTAGGAAGGCCATGTACATAAATAGTTGACCCACTCAACTGATATCACCATTTATCTACAATAAAGGCCACCCTCCAGTCCCCTTGGTGTTAGGTTAAGTTCTGCTTCTTTACGATAGCTGTGGTTGCTCCCTACATTCTTCTCTGAACTTTATGAGTGCATCATCTTTGCCTATCTTCTGTAAGACTTCTTCCATCGTAGGGCTCATTGATCAGTCACACCCTTTCCCTCACACAGCAGCTGCACCATCAAGACACAGAGGAAAGACAGTGAATGATCAACTTGTGAGGTTACAGCACCTCTCAGGGTCTCCTTCTCTTCTTTTTCGCTTCCTTCTCATCTCTTCATGCAGATAATGAAGATTCTCTAGAGCCTGTAGGAAGCAGACCCAGGTAACAATAAACCCAGCAAGTTAAACGTGGAACTGATGGTTAACGTGATCAGTGACAGTCAAAATGCAGAAGGTGCCTAATGGAAGGGAGAATTGAGCCATGACATTAGGAATTTGGGTTATGAGCACTCCAAGACTAAACTTTTTGTACAGGCCAAAGTCATTGACTTAAATAAACTAGCTTACACAGTTTTAGAAACAGGTAGTAAAGTTTTGTACTGTTCATTAGATTTCGAATTTTTCAAGCTGAATAGACTCTGTTTGTTAATTTTGGTAGGGCTGAACCTATTTTGTCTCGAATAAAAGAAGATCGCACTGTTATAACATCACCGGTATTTGACAATATTCGTTTTGATGACTTTGAGCTTCTTCAATATTCAGTGGCTGCAGATGGATTTGACTGGGCACTCTGGTGCCTTTATGAACCTTTACCAACTGAATGGTATGCTCTGAAAGATGAAACAGCTCCAGTTCGGTGAGTATGAATAGCGTTTGAGTGTGAGCCAAGATACATGATATCCAGCATAGAGATAGCAGAGGGAAGAAGAGGTTTCATAGGTGGTGGGATAGAAAGATACCTGTGAAGCACATTACATCTAGAGAGTTGGTTTGGAAGTGACAGTTCTTTAGCCTCCCTGAAAATCTCAGTACACCTCAGCAGGGCTGTATTACAGAATCTGCCCTGTGCTGATCCTGCTGTCAGCCTTTCAGGCAATCCCCAATCATCAGATATTTCTCGTCTTATTTTACTGTGTTTACGTGGCAAGGTTTTGGTATTGGGGGAGGCTACAGGGATGACTTCTGTGAGAAGTGAGGGACTTTCCCCATGTTGGACACAGCTAGTTCCAGCTGGCTCCAAAATGGAAACAGTGCTGGCTAAAGCTGAGCTAATCAGCAGTGCTGGTGGAGGCTCTGCAATAACGTATTTAAGATAGGGTAAAAAATGCTGTGCAGCAGGTGTGAGTGAAAGGAGTGAGAAAGAAATATGAGAGAAACAGCCCTGCAGACACTGAGGGCAGTGAAGGAGATGGAGGAGGTGCTCCAGGCACCAGAGCAGAGAAGCCTATGGTGAAGCAGGTTACCCCTCTGCAGCGTATGGGGACCATACTGGCCAGCTATCCACATAACAGCCCTTGGAGGACCATGCTGGAGCAGATATCCATGTGACAGTCTGTGGAGGACCCCACAGTTTAGTGGGTAGATATGCCCTGAAGGAAGACGCAACCTGTGGAGAGCCCATGCTGGAGCAGACTCCTGGCAGGAGCTGCAGCTCATGGAGAAATGCTCAAGAAGGAGCCTGTTTTCTGGCAAGAACTGCAGCCTATGTGGTACCTGCACTGGAGAAGTCTTCTCCTGAAGAACTGTACCTCGTGAAAAAGTTCTTGAAGAACCGCAGCCCATGGGAAGGACCCATGTTGGGACAGCTCATGAAGGATTGTATCCCATGTGAGAATCCCATGCTGAAGCAGGGGAAAAGTGTGAGGAAGACAGTGTGGCAGAAATGAAGTGTTACGCACTCACTAGAACTCCCATTTTCCATCCCTATGCCCTGCTCAAAGCAGAGGGAGGAGGTGGAAGAGTCAAGAGCTAAGTGGAACTTGGAAAGCAGGGAGGATGGAGGGAAGGTGGTTTTGTTTTGGTTTTGTCTCTCACTATCCTCCTTTATTTTTAATTGGCAATAAATCAAATTAGTATTGCCTAAGTTGAGTCTATTTTGCTGGCAATGGCAACTGGTGAACCATCTCCCTCTCCTTATATTAACCCATGAGCTTTTTCATCTTATCGTCTTTCCCTGTCTTGCTGAGAAGAAGGAATGAGAGAGTGGCTTCGTGGGCACCTGCTGGCAGCCAACCAAGTTTAACTCACTACACTTATTTATATAAAGGGCTTTAAAATTTACTGTGTAGAACCTGAGGAGGAAGTGTACTGTGAAAACATTTGAAAATAGCGTACTGTGTTTGTCAGATGAGATGGCAGATTTCTTCATACGTTTACTGCTACATCTGGTAGCCGAGCATTGGAGAGGTAGCTGCACAGGTACCTAGATGAAGAACTATGATTGAAATGGGCACCTGCATGTGTTAAAAACGTTATACAGTGAGCATCAATGGTTTGAGCAGGAGAATGGAATGAAAGCAAGCTAAATGTAGGTTAAAGAATGTTTTGGGAGAGAGGTATGTGTCCACAATTCTTAGATCAGAGAAAATAGAATCAGGTTTGATCATAGAGAATGGGTATACCCTTTTCAGTTCCCTTTCCCCTATCTCTAGGATGGATTAATCTGCAGTGGAATTCGTCTTGCCTGAAAATCTCTCATCTCTCTTTTAAAACCTGAATTGACAGTGATTCCACAATCTCCCTTGGCTTTAGGGTTTAATTTTCTTTAATGTTAGGTAAAATTTCATGATGTCCAACCTCATTCTTCCTTGTTGCATTTTCACCCAATTTCTTTCTTCTTGTTTTAAATATAAAAAAAATTGTTCTTACATCTTCTCTCAAAATAGATCTAATTCTT